ATGGTATGTATAGCTACAGTCTTTAAGAATCTGTACAACTAAATCCACCTCTAAACTTAAATCAAACACACTGTAACTCGCAAAAATGTCTAAAAAGATTCAGCGTTAACATATGAAAGCAGATGTATTTTCATATTATCTGTGCACTTTTCAGTGACAATAATACTGGTTGGTCAGAACTGCGTGGTTGCATGTGATTGAAAAACAGCAGAGAAACAGTTCAGGAAAAAAGTTCTGCCAGAAAAATAATATTTATTGGCAGTAAAATGAGGTCTATGGGTACATGTGTTGCCCTCTAAGAGGCTTCACTGTAGGTCTTGTAGAGGAGCCAGTCACTATGAGGCACCGCTTGGCACCACCCATGTTTATTTCAACACATCCTATTTCTTTTCTTGCACAGTTACTTTTCTATGTTGATTGAAAGGAAACTCCACCTTTGTTCCTCAGTATCATGTCAGCTTGGGTGTAGACTTGATCGAGTGCAATATAACGGACATATATATAAACGGATGTGGAGTTCAAAAGTTTGAAAGGAAGTCAAACAAAATATTTGAGCAGCTGAAAATGAATTATGAAAAACGTAGGATCCAGTGTTTTTGAAACTAGACACATATAAAACCCAATCCCAGTTGGCAGAGAACATTCCCGCAACACTCGCTGTTTTCAAGTGTTCCAATAAGGTGAAAAGTCAACCGAGACATTCAGAGAATATTTGATGTATGTTTTGTCCGGGCCACAGATTCAATTACATGACAACACAAGAAGAACGTTTTCAAACCAACATTCAAAAAATTAAGATGTTATGAAGTTCTCTGACAACAGAGCATCTTTTATAAAACATTTCTGTATTATCGTATATTAACAAAGGGGAATAATGTTGACTACAATGTTCTGAGGATGGTTTTGTGGATGTTGCTGATGTGACACTGTAAAGAACGTTCTTTTATAAAACATTATGTCTTTTTTACCCAATGTGCATTCTCAACACAACATTTGGAAAATATTTTAAGAATGTCTGGCATTAAGGTCTAACAATGTCTAAAAAAAAATAAACCGAAAAGCTTCCTGGAAACATTACTAGAATGTTAAAGAACTTTCTCAGAATGTTTTCAGAACAAAAATATTCTCAGCTCAGGTTTTTATCGGTTTGATCGATTATTGTACCCATTCAGCAATTTTCTGATTATCGGTACTGGGATTTTTAGAATTGATTTCTTAAAAAAAAAATTAATTGATTAAAATGTACTATTTTGGCTCTGACACTGAAAGATACATTTTTAAAAGGTGTCTTTTTAACTAAAAATATGTTAAATATACATAAAGGCAGTTAAATGAAGGTTAATGCCTTACTTTGTGTTATTCTTAATTTGACACTAAGATTTTTTTATTTTTTTGCAAATGTAAATCTGTTCCAAACATCAGTTATTGACCTCCTTTATTACAGATAATCAGTAATAATGTGAGCCCTAACGAAAACATTTTAGTCAAACCATAACCTGAGCTTCAATTTAATCTAACTTTAAACTGCATGTGCAGCACAAACTTGCTTAAGCACCCCTTTAATACTGTCATGACCAGTTTAACTCCCCCTACTGGCGTTTATCCAGCCTCGAAAGTGGGTCTTAAAAGCCTGGACCTGTCACTGACTGTTGCGGTTGTCTGTAGTAGAATTTGGGATTCATCCATCCATCCATTATCTATACACCGCTTTATCCTCTCTAGGGTCATGGGGGGGCTGGAGTCTATCCCAGCTGACTTAGGGTGAAGGTCACCAGTCTATCACAGGGCTACACTTAGAGACAGACAACCAAACACACTCACATTCACACCTACGGACAATTTAGAATCACCAATTAACCTCAACATGTTTTTGGACTGTGTGGGAAGAACCCGGAGAGAACCCACGCTGCACGGGGAGAACATGCAAACTCCAGGCAGAAAGATCCTGGTGCCCCCACCGGGACGCAACCTGGTGTCCTCCTTGCAGCCCAATTTGGGATTCAGGTTTTTTTATTTGAGAACCACAGTTAGAGTAATTTTATGTTGGCCAGAGAATGAGATGGTGCCAAACAAATACCTTAAACATTTAAACATTTCCAGCTGCTATACAAAAAAAGCGACTGTAAAGTAATTTTCTTACTCAATAGCTGCTTTTAAGCTACTTTGGTTAGCAGCTACTAATGACTGAGATATGTCCAAATGTCTTGCAAAACACATGCAGTCAAAGAGTTCCCCATGGGCCAATTTTTTCTTTTTCTTTTTAAATAAAAACTAAATTACTTTCTTCACATTCGTTTTCCTCTTGGGGCCATTCAAGGGACAGCAAAAACACTGGAAATTACATTGCCCATGAAAAGTCTATGAGGTAGTGCTGTAAATGTCCATTACCTCTGTTGAACTTTGTGAGTGTGAGATAAGGACAAGCTGTTCTTGGCAGGGGTAGTCAAAACACCAAGAGAGCTGTATCTAATCACCCCCATTTGCAGGAGATTGTTTTCTGTTCACTGTCTGTGTTTAAGAACCAGTGCTTCATGTTTTTAGTCCGTCACTTGTTAAGACGCTGCACTGTGGATTTGATTCTTTGCTGCACGTTAAACATTGCTTTGACTTGAGAGACGACTCTGTTGAAGCAGTTAGGACTCCACTGAATCATTTTCCTAACATCTGCTCAGCAGGTTCTCTCATTTAACCCCTGCCTTTTATCACTTATTCATGCTCCATCCCAGCTCGTGAGACAGGAGCTGAGATTATTCCAACACACGATATGATGATAAGGAGTAAACCAGTCCTGAGAAAATCTCTGAAGTGCCCCTGTGATGATAAGTTGGACCAATCAGCAGACTTTGTGCTTGCTTAATCATTAGTTACTCAGTCTAATCTTGCATTAGGACATTTCAAAACGTTCTTTTCCTGCTTATAAAAGTACTCCCACATGCAATATTTGCAAGGTTATAATGAATGTCACAGCCTTGTTCAGCCTTGTGCATTTTTTTACATGTTAGACATTAAATTGGGGTTAATTCCACTTTGTCCACGTTAATAGGTTTAGACAGCTGTGTACATATTCTATAACGCTCGTCTGCCCTACACTGCAGGAGGCATTGGCAGTACTGCTGAGGCAGCGGGATGATGCAGCTTAGCTCCAGCTGGAGAAGATATCCCCTCTAAAGCTTTTTCCCTTTGCGTTGGCTGCTTAGTGTTAGGTAAAGTATGCGGACTACGAACATTGCTTTAAAAGGAAATTTTTTGCGCCTCATCTTTGGCATGGAATGACACAGAGTGTGCCTTCAGGTTAGTCTGTTTCAAATATAATCTGGAAGTTGTTTTGTCTTTTCTTTTCTTTTTTTCACTGGGAGGAAAACAGCTGGAAATGTGTTTCACTGCGTGACAGTATTTGTTAAAAATGGCCTCAGCTCTGTGGCAACATTTCTTGGATATTTGTGACTATTTAAAAGTTCATTTTCTTGAGCTTGAATTTATGTTTAGAGCCCGCATTCTGCTCAGTGTGACATAGCCTACACTTGAAACCCAATAATAAGATCTAAATCATGTGTGAGGATCTTCTCTTATGTCCTCAGTGGAAGAACCGTGACATCCAAATGATCGTAATCATGCTGTGCTAGTGTTTATTGCCTTTGCACTTCTGTAATGTTTCCCAGAAGAGACTCTAGTTTGGAAAGCAGATCGTGCCCTAGATCCACTGGGACGACAGTGAGCGTGGGAACCATGGGACCCCCCGGGACTACCCAAGACGGGACAAGAGGACGGCGACCGTCTACTCCCTATCAAGCAAAATCTATCATGGTTGTCCATTCAACACCATCAGGGGAGAAAATGCAGTGCGAGAGCTATTTAATAAATGTAAGACAGTATGTATTTCCCTTGAATAATTGCTTTCCTTTGCAAAGTATGCTAAAATTCTATTGTACTATGTTTGGCAAATGTAAAACCAGAAATGACCAAATTACCACATGATGCTCTGGAGCTTTAGTCACACAGTCTGTTGTCTCACATTGGCTTAAATGTTAAGATTGAAAGTTTGTTTTGGACCTTACAAAAAGCTTTTTAGTCTATTTTGAAGCTGCTACGGAACTATCCATCACTGCAGTTCTCAGAAAACTTCCTTGCCAGGCCAATGTGCTTTGTTTCGTTTCTGGAACACACAAGTTATAAAAAGAAGTGATGTGCTGTACTCACTCAAGAGTGAACTCCAGGAAACTCTTTGAATGAGCAAAGCTGGGTGTTGCAAAAAAACAGCAATACGTCTTTTTCTTTTTCCAGACAGACGCAGACAGACCACTTCCTCTGCCAGACATCATGCCAGGGACTTTTCCTGAGCTTGCAACAGCAAAGCGACGCCACAAAAGTACAACAGACATCCCGTACCGGGGAAATGTGTGCTTGCTTCCGCCGTCACCTCTTGGTTTCACAGACACAGAGCAAAATTTCTTGCGCAGATGCTCATTAAGAGAGACCAAGAGTGTTTCACGCTCCCCCCGTCATGCCCTCAGCGTGCCCGACATGGGCTCTAACGGCCCCCTTAGGACCTTCAACAACAGTCCTATCCACAGCACCCCACTCTCACCAGCGCAAAGCAACATATCCAGTCCCGCCAGAGAGATAGAGAGGCTGGCCAAAGCCCGGAGTAAACTCCTGGAGAGTGAGAGCAACCAAACACCGACGCTTCCCCCAGAAACCAGGGAGCAACTTCGCTATGTCTCCAAGGATGGAAAGTGTCGCGTCAATCTGTGTCACATCTCTGAGAGGGGCCGCTTCCTGTCTGATATCTTTACCTCTTTTGTGGACCTCCAGTACCGCTGGTTCCTGTTTGTTTTCATGATGTGTTACATCACCACCTGGTTCTTGTTTGCCGGGCTCTACTTCTTTAATGCTTACTTTCGAGGTGATCTCGCACAAGAGCGACAGCTTAACACCTCTGAGGACCCCTTCGTAGACCAAACACCCTGCTACTTAGGTGTAAATGACTTTATCTCAGCTCTGCTCTTCTCGGTGGAGACACAACGCACTATTGGCTATGGCTCCCGCACTGTTTCTCCAACCTGCCACGAGGGTGTGCTGTTGGTTATGATCCAGTGCATTGTTGGGTCCATGATAGACGCCCTCATGGTGGGGTGCATGTTTGTTAAAATATCCCGCCCTAAGAAGCGAGCAGAGACACTTCTTTTTAGTCGCACTTGCGTGATTGCAAACCGAGATGACCAACTGTGTTTGATGTTCCGTCTGGGAGACCTGAGAGAAAGTCACATGGTGGACGCAAAGGTTCGTGCAAAGTTGATTAAGTCCCGCCAAACAGCTGAGGGCGAGTTCTTGCCCCTTGAGCAAACTGAAATCGATCTTGGCTATGAGACTGGATCAGACAGACTTTTCCTGGTGGAGCCTCAAGTCATACAGCATAACATCGACTCAAACAGTCCGCTGTGGGAACTGGGCCCGGAGCAGCTTAGACGCCAACAGTTTGAGATAATCGTCATCTTGGAGGGAATTGTTGAGGCGACAGGTGAGTAGTCCAACATAACAGCAACCAAACAAAGATACAGAGATATCACACAAGTAAAGTCAAGATTTCTGTGTTTTCTTTCATTCACTTTCACTTTCATCAGTGAGTTTTTCAACTACAGAAAGAGAAACTGAAACATTTTCCTGGGAAATGCATGCAGCGGTTTCTAACTGGTAATTTCTAGAGCTGTGGGAACCACAAGGGAGACAGTCTAAATCACCCTCATTGTTTTGTCTGGAGGCTCCCTTGGGCAAAACCTTTCGCAGAAAAACATCGATAAGATTTATCCTTACTTCCATCAGTGTTGCTATAGGGGCTACGTTGTACACGTACATGTACACTGTATGTGTACAAGCAGTCATTTGAATCCAATCCAATTATTGTGCTCCCTTGCTACCTTTTAACATGTCTAGTTAAGCACTAAATTATTCATACCCATTCATCTGAATTTGTATTTGACCAATACGTTTCTTGTGGCTGGTAACTACATAAACAAGTGACGGTAAGACGTTAAAAATGTTAGTAATGAAGTTGTCATCAGTTTCTGAGAAAGTACAGCTTTACCGTTACTAATACACAATAAAGCGAGAACAGCTGATGCAATAGTTCTCTGGCCAGCGGCTACTGAATATCAAGTGAAGACTGAAACAGCTGGTAGGGCTCGTCGCTGAGAGAGAATTGCACGTTGTGATTAGAGAGTCACATCCAAATGGTTTCATATGACAAAGTGAAAAATGTAGCCAAGAAGTAGGATGGGTTCCAAACTGTATAAAACCTCAAAGCACATGGCAAGATGACAAAAATGATAGCGGTCCCCACCAAGAGCGTCTTGATGAATGTGAGCAGTCCTGGCTGGTCTCCATGAACACAGACCACATAGAACTCCACTTGTCCAAGACAGACACACAAAAGTACAGCTGGGAAAATAAAAAGAAACTCACTGCTGATCGATTCTACGGTTGAATGAGATGAAAATGGTGCTGTTTGGACAAAGAGAAGTGGTTTTTGTACTAAGAAAGAAAGGAGAAGCATTCAACCTCAAGAACAACATCCCCACGGTCAAAAACAATGATGGGAATGTGATGCTTTGGGAAATTTTTTCAACCAGTGTAACAAACAGACCTGTGAACATAAAAAAGCATCGTGAGAATAAAGAACTACATTCCGATTGTGGAGGAAATGCAGGCATTCTGCAGAAACAAAAACAAAACAAAACAAAAAATGTGGGCAGCATTTGCAAGCTTCCAACAAGACAATGATGTGAATCATGCAGCCGAAGTGGTGAAGAAATGGTGAAGAGGAAACAATGAGGAGATGTTGGAGCTGCCCAGCCAGAGTCTAGATCTGAATCCATCCAGAATCTGTGGAGGAACTGAAGAGCAGAGTGATGGAGAGGAAGCCTTCAAGGTCAAAGATCTCAGGATGGACCTGCAGAAATACTGTTAGCAGCCAGAGCAACTGTCTGACTCATGTGGAGGCAAATAAAGGCAATAGATAGAAATAGTTTAAAATTATCATTAACATCTCGAAAACACCGGTGCGCATAGCTCACCACGCTAAGCGCCCCCTTCCCGCACCGGGAACTAGTCCTGGAGTCGGAGGGCCCGAGCTCGTATCCCGCTCGGGGCTTGTCACACTTTTGGTGCAGGGTGGCGCAGTTAGTAGCACTGTTGCCTCGCAGCAAGAAGGTTGTGGAGGCAGCGGAATTTTTCTGCGTGGAGTTTGCATGTTCTCCCCGTGCAGTGTGGCCCCCTCCATGTTCTCCGGCTTCCTCCCACACAGTCCAAAAACATGTTGAGGTTAATTGGTGATTCTAAATTGTCCATAGGAGTGAATGTGTGCTTGGTTGTCTGTCTCTAAGTGTAGCCCTGTGATAGACTGGTGACCTGTCCAGGGTGTCCCCTGCCTTCACCCTAAGTCGGCTGGGATAGACTCCAGCCCCCCGCGACCCTAGTGAGGATTAAGCGGTGTATAGATAATGGATGGATGGATCTCTAAAACAATGTCTCTCTGTCTTTTGTCACTTGTTAATGTCATTCCCAGCCAGAAGAAATACCTTTGTTTAAAAGATATATATTTTAATTCAAAATTTTGCATGGGTAATAGAAGCCTAACTGTACATGTAAAGACACATTCATGCATTTACTTTTTTGAAAGAAGGAAGTTAGCTGCCCCTTACTGTAGGAAAATGTAGGACATTACATGTATTGTCTAAAATCTTGACGTTACATTTTTCAGGCCAATGACTAAGTGGCTGGCATGCACTTAGCTGGAACATGTGTGTATTCTGTTTCTATTCAGGAATCCATGAGTCAGGGTGACGTGGAGTACCAAAGCATAACGATATTGGACAAAACACATAAAACAAATAGCTTGACATTTTTTGGGAACAAGCTTGTTTACTTTCTTGCTAGGAGACTTTACTTTGCGCAATACATATCTTAGGTGTCTCGTCCCACCGACAAAAGTAAGGACACAAACTCGATTCTTCACGTTTTCTGTCGAAGAAATGCTTCTAAGAAGGAATCCTCTCTTGTGTGTGACAAAAACACACCCCAAATTTACAACAGATCTTTCTAACCATCTACAACCCTCCTAAATGAACAAATAGACAGAAACCAGCTGCAGATGTGGAGCCGCAGAGAGAAAAAACAAAGCAGAGGAAGAGAGGGGTGAAGAAAGGAATGGCAGCGTCTTCACAACTTGATTTTAATAAAATATCTAAGTCTTTGCCTCATTAATTCAGATGTATAATATATATATTTTTTCTATTCTACTTCCGTTTGTGTTGTCGCCAATCAAAGCACGTGAAAGCGGCCTGTGTCTAAACAGGAGAACGCTATAATCAGCTGGCAAGATTTATCCACCGAAAACATTCCGATTGCTGTTTGTGAAAAGGTTTATGGTTAGATGTTTTTCTAGTTTCTGGAAAGAGAAGTTACTAGAACAGAGTGTTCAAAAAGCCAGTCGAAACAGGTTCTCCGCTGCTTCTCAACAACTGTCCAGAGTCCTAAAGGGGGCTGCCTTAATTATAGCCTCTTTTTATACAAACAGACTAATGTTTGCAAAATGAGACGCAGCACTCTCAAGTCACTCTGGGTGTTCAGAAAAGTTGGAAACTAAAGGCCTTTTCAAAGAAATTTGTGCAAACATTAGAGAAAAGCTGAAAAAAACAAACCACATCAACAATAAAACTGATAAATGTTTAAAAAAAATAAAACTGTCTTCTACTTAAACTGAAATGTAGATATAGAAAAGCATTTCAACAAAGCTTTGAGTCTATTTTTCTAAATTTTGACGACCAAGATTTTCGTTCTGACTGCAATTGCATATTGGTTCCATCTGCTATCCATCTCCTTGATTACTAATAATCAGTATCAGCTCTGAAAAAGTCTATAAGCTGACAAAGACATTAAAAAAAGAAAAAACTGTAAATGTTGGCACTTTGAGATGATTGTGTGTGTGTGTGTGTGTGTGTGTGTGTGTGTGTGTGTGTGTGCTGTATGTTTGTTGTACACGTTGCTGAATGCAAACCACAAAAAATCTTCAAAATTCAATGTAATCTTATTTCATGACCTCAACAATTGTGGTGCAAAAGTCTGCTGGTTTAGTAACAGAAGCATTTGTTCCTGATTTGGAAATTCGTGGTCACTTTTCTAAAATGTTGTAGTCTAGGATAGTTCTAAGTGTATCTTCGTGTGTGGCTCCCACAGTTTTGGATCATCAATGGACTTTTGTTTGATTTTCGTCTGGGACTGTGGAAGAGACTCCAAAAGCGTCATTGTGTGGTTTCTCATGGGGGGATTTTGAGGTTTGCTTTGGATCATTACAGCTTTCTGTTTTTCATGTGGTTTCTTGACCGACCGCATAGATATTTGTTTATTTAGATTTCTTTAATATACAACAGATGATCCACAAAACGCAAAATGCAGTGTTTAAATGATGATTTATTGCAGATGTTTTTTGGAAGAACCTGTATCACCCCTGTGAAAAAGGAATTGCACATTTTAGCCTAATAACTGGTTGGACCAACCTTGGCAGCAGCAACTGCGGTTAAATGTTGGCGGTAGCTTGTGGTCAGTCTTTTGCATCACCATGGAAGATTTTTTACCCACTTTTCTCTGTAAAATAGTTTGATTTTGGCCACATTAGATGGTTTTTGATTAGAAACTGTTTTTCCAAGGTCTTGCAACAGCATCTCAATTGGATTCAAGCCCACACTTGGATGCTCCAAAACCTTAATTTTGTTCTTTTTGATCCATTCAGAGGTGAAGTGTGTGCTTTAGGTCATTGTCTCTTGAGCATTACATCATGAATTCATGGGTGACTATCCTCCTGGAAATTTTTTTGATAGAGAGCAGACTTCATGACCTCATCAGTTGACAAGTCATTCAAGTCCTGTATAAGCAAAGCCATCACACTATCGTCACCATGCTTCACTGCCGGTGTGATGCCATTTGTTCTTATGAAATGCAGTGTTCACTTCACACCAGATGTGACAGGACACATGTCTTCCAACGAATTCCACCTTTGACTCATCAGCCCACAGGATGTCATTCCATCTTGAGGCTGTTTTTTGTGTCTTTCTTATTGTGGAATCATGGCCACTGACCTTAACTGAGGCAAGTGAGACATGCAGTTCTTCAGATGTTGGCCTGGGTTTTTTTGTGACTTTCATGATAAGATGTTGGTGGGTCAGCCATTCCTGAGAAAGTTCACAGCCGTGTCATTTCTTTCTCCATTTGTGAACAGTGACTCTCAATGTGGTTCACTGGAATCGCAGAGCCTTATCCATTCAGATAAAGGTCAGTGACTTTGCTCCACATCTGTTCTTAAACCTCTTTAGAACGTGGCTTCACGTGTAGCTTTTTGTCTGCTGCACTAAAGCAGACGTGCTCTATTTAAGTGATGTTTAGATTCAGCAAGCCTGGCAGTAAACATACGTGGGTGTTGCTGTTGAAACTGAACCCAATGATTAGTAGCGAAGGGGACAGTTACACGTCCCCTCAGGAAAGATGGCGCTGGACAGCATTTTCCATCCATCCATTATCTATACACCGCTTAATCCTCACTAGGGTCGTGGGGGGGCTGGAGTCTATCCCAGCTGACTTAGGGCGAAGGCAGGGGACACCCTGGACAGGTCACCAGTCTATCACAGGGCTACACTTAGAGACAGACAACCAAGCACACTCAATTGGACAATTTAGAATCACCAATTAACCTCAACATGTTTTTGGACGGGCTGCAAGGTGGCGCAGTTGGTAGCACTGTTGCCTCGCAGCAAGAAGGTTGCCGGTTCGCGTCCCGGTGGGGGCACCGGAATCTTTCTGCGTGGAGTTCTCCCCGTGCAGCGTGGGTTCTCTCCGGGTTCTCCGGCTTCCTCCCACACAGTCCAAAAACATGTTGAGGTTAATTGGTGATTGTAAATTGTCCGTAGGTGTGAATGTGAGTGTGCTTGGTTGTCTGTCTCTAAGTGTGGCCCTGCGATGGACGGGCGACCTGTCCAGGGTGTTTCCTGCCTTCGCCCTAAGTCGGCTGGGTTAGGCTCTAGCCCCCCCGCGACCCTAATGAGGATTACGCGGTGTATAGAAAATGGATGGATGGATGTATTTGGACTGTGTGGGAGGAAGCCGGAGAACCCGGAGAGAACCCATGCTGCACGAGGAGAACATGCAAAAAATTCCGGTGCCCCCACCGGGACGCGAACCGGCAACCTTCTTGCTGCGAGGCAATAGTGCTACCAACTGCTCCACCCTGCAGCTGGACAGCATTTTTCCTTCATTAAATGAAATTATCATTTAAAAACTGCATTTTGTATTTTCTTGGCTTATCTTTATCTTATATTAAAACTAGAAACATTAAAGATGAGACAAATATGCAAACATATACTTTTCCACAGCACCATAATTTCTAATGAATTCATGAAGCTCTGAGACGTTACAAGTGATAAACAAGCACCCAAATGTTAACACGTGCATGTATCTCCATTTAAGGCCAGGGAGGAAAACCAAGTTCCCAAACATACAGTACGATGTTCTGACTCAAGCCGCGGTTGTACAAACATTAGATGAGTTGTTTCATCTCTGCCAGGGTTCCAATTAACCTCACATAAATCTGGCTTTGTATTGAAACAGCATGACCGAGGCTTCTGGGGAATATGGAATTTGTGAGGAAACCTGTGGGAGACTTTACTGTAAGTAGTGCAGATTAAAAGATGAGGTCCCCCCATTGTTCCCTGTTTGTTTTTTAAGTTAGATTTGTAGATCTTGTTAATTGATGTCCTGAGCAACATTTACTGTAACAGTTGATTTCGACATTGTTGTGAGTAAAAAAAAACACTTCTTCTCTAGAATGCGTCACTCATGATGACACAGTTTGATGTATTCTCCAGTAAACTCCATGAGTTATTACGGATGACGAAAAAAACAAACAAACAAAAAAAAAAAACACCCAAAAAATTACAACCTTTAAATGGTATAAATGTGACAACTTAAAATAGAAGTTTCTGTTTCAAGGACTGTTTATGCCGCCTTTAGGAAAGAAATATAAATGCTTAATGATATTGCAAGACTGAGTATTGTGGGGAAAGCAAACCAAACACATAGTCAGGGAATGTTTTGCAGATTTATTCAGTGTAAACAACAGACACTAGTTAGAGATGGAAGCATGAAATACACAGTACAGACAGTAGATGTCATTTTGAGGAGAACCACTGAAGCACCACCCTGCTCTTGCATCAGGCTTTTAGGTGCGGTTGCTTTCACGCAGTCCTTTTTCTCTGGAAACCAGCTTGACGTTTCTGAGATACACTGCAGATAATAAAATGAGTCATGATTCAGTTCCATTTAGCTGCTTCAGTTTCAGTGTGCATGCTGGGTAAAAAAAAACAAAAAACAAAACTGTCAATAATGTCAATATTGAGCATGTGTCTCCTGTTGTGATCAGAAAGCTGTTGTGTTCAGTTCTGTAAGTTCTGCACAAATGTGGAGAATCAAACAGTGGCATCATGTGGCGAAGGATGTGTACTTCGCTCCTGAAAATAGTGACTCTAACTCTTCCTTCCATCTCCTCATGTCAAACACAGGTATGATGTGCCAAGCCAAAACATCTTACATCGAAACAGAGATCGAGTGGGGCGCTCGCTTTGAACCCTGCATGACGCTGGAGAAAGGTTCGTTCAGAGTGGACCTGCGTCGGTTCCACACCACTTACCAGGTGCCACTGCCTCACTGCAGTGCCAGCCAGGCCAACCAGCTACTCACTCTGTCGGACCATAAGCTCCAAAGCCAAAAATCCGGCCGAGACTGGGAAACCTGGACCGAAGGAACGACGGAAGACGACAAATCCAAGCAGCCGCCTCACGGAGGATTCATTATTGATAACATTCAGGAGGAGAGGATGTCTGAAACGAATGAAAGCGAAGGGAGTGCAGAAAAAAGCATGCCGTAGCGAGAGCGTCTGAAGGACATTTTGCACTTTTTGTATTGGCTTGTACGGTAAATTATTTATCAGTGAGAAGCTCGTGGATGGGCCTTTTGACACCGATGCAACAGCAGTGTAAATTACACAATCATCCCCAAATATTGCAACAACTCCAGTAACTTTCCTAGTCTAGCACTGTGTGCAGTTTTACTGGTGAATGCTGGCAGATTTACTCCAAATTGTGAGTAATTTTTTAAAAACAATACACCAACTCACAGCATGAGTCATCTTGGAGCACCAATTCAATTCTAGAGAAAAAGCCAATAAATCTAATCCCTTTTAGGCAAGAAAACTTAACAGGAAGAAACCACCCGTAGAACCAAGCTCAGCGAGGGCGGCGATCTGCCTCGACTGGTTGGGGTGAGGGTGAAGCAGAGAGACAAACAATGCACAAGAGAGCAGTTGACACTGGAGATGTTGGTGAGGTCATAGATACACTGAGAGTGAAGCAGAGTGGTGATCAGTGCAAGTCTGGGCCTAAAGGAGCAGAACTCAGGAATGGTTCAGGACCACAGGAGCAGCCCGAACCAGAAGCTTAATCAAAAACAGGACGCTTAAGCCTCCCCAGCTCGTTCCACAGTAGAAGGTTCTGCTTCCAATTCTGCTCTTGGAATCTCAAAGAACCACAAGTAAGCCTGCAATTAAAGCAAAGTGCTCTATTAGGATGCTATGCTACTTAGTCACTAAACACTTTGCATGTAAAGGGGAGGATTCTATTCTGGATTTTACAAGGAGCCAATGTAAAGGTGCTAACATAGTAAAAAAAAAAACAAAAAAACCTCTTTTTTCCAGTCAGCTAGTTGGAAAAACTGACTGAGCCTTCAATGTTTCCAGCTGACTTGTTTAATACACTAGAATCCTCTAAAAGGATCGGCATTCAACATGAACCTGAGGCCTCCACACAGTACCGTGCTACATATACTGAGGCTGAAAGATAAGCTGATGATCTGTAGCTGAAGACATGTGGATCAGTAAACAAATGTATTTACGTCATTGTGTTAAAGTGAGCAGATAGTTAATGTGTTATTTGAGGGGATAAACAAAAATCATTCATTCTAGCATGAGCCAGTGACAAGTTGTTTGGTGTTCTGAAAACACAAAACTAGCTGTGGATTGTTGTAGAACCTTTATAGTTTGTTCATGATGTGCTGGCCTTGGAAACAACAGTCCTTTTGCACTGCTGCTGATGTTTGATCAGTGAATCTGAGACACTCACAGCACGTAAATACACAGGTCAGTCCATCCAGAACAGTTTTGCGAATGAGTTTTCGATTGAGGAAAGGATTTTTAAAAAAAAGACGCTACAAACTGGATACGTTGATTTCAGAGCGTACAAAATGGTTTGCTGCTTCGGTTTTAGGGTCCTGGTGTTGGTCCATGCTGTCAAGGTCTACTGGGACACATGGGTAGATGTTTATAGTACATAGATCAGGGGTGTCGACATCCGGTCCTCGAGGGCCGCAATCCTGCATGTTTTAGATGTTTCCATCTTCCAACACACCTGATTCAAATGATCAGGATCGTTATCAGACTTCTGCAGAGCTTGATGATGAGCTGATCATTTGAATCAGGTGTGTTGGAAGAGGGAAACATCTAGAACATGCAGGATTGTGGCCCTCGAGGACGGCAGTTCGACACCCCTGACATAGATAAACCATCTTGGTAGTGATATTAGTGCCTTTGCCTACTATGATGCATCAACATGTTATCTTTGAGATGCCGGATGATTGCATCAGTGAAGCTCCCAGCGCACAAACCAGAAATCCCAAAATAGTGATTGCTCATATCATCCATAGATGAAGCTTTATATGCGCCACGATGCACATTCACACACAAAGACACAGAGTCGAGTTTCCGTCACTTCAGAAGGCATAACTTTGAACTGCTACCTGTCTAACCCTGACCATAAGCTTTGGAGATTTTATTTTATGTCCCTCAAAATGATGATGAATCTTCACAATGTGACTGTGCAAACACATTTATGTAATCACACTATTACATTTTCTCGTGCAAATAAAGGGCCTTTAGAGAGGAATACCAGTAAGCTCCGTCCTTCATAAAAAGGAAATTAAATCAGCTCAAGCTAAGACTGTAGTTTGTTCCACCAGTAAAGCCATAACAAAAAAACCCCTCTGTGTTTTTGTATGATTTAAGAATAAAAAGCCTCCTGTTCGGTATCTGCACAAATGACCACGAGAACTGCCAGGTAGCTGCTTGTAAGCTTGTTTATTTGATGCATTAGTCGTCTCTAAGACAAGACATACCGATCCATTAAAGCCTATAAATGAGAAATGATTAAAACATTTGTTTTCTCACCCATAAAAATCAAGACAATGCTGTACAAATCCAGAGATGTCTTTCAGTGGAAACAGGCCCGAAAGCTGTACAGAGAGCTCCTCCAGGAAGCAACGGTCATTGTCACAGACTGCAAACGTCATTTAACTTGCTTTAACAGAGCTATGTCAGCTGCTAAACACCACTCGGTAATGCTTTTAAGACACATGTTTTTCCAGTATGTCCATGCCTTTGTAGTTTTAGCATCAGTGACTGACAATGCAGAATATCTGCAAATGGAAGGAAAAGAAAGCAGTGGATAATTGTCACTAGCTAGACTATAAAAAGTGTTTAATTTAACTTTTTAAAGTCTTTAATTGATCATTTAAAAAAAAAAAAAGACTTTAAAAAGCCGTAACTGAAAAACCATAAAATTTCCATTTTTGAAGAAATTTGAAAGTGACATGAAAAGACATGTACGTATTAGCAAGTTTATTTTATTTTATTATTTATTTGTTTATTACTGTAAATATAAAATGTATTTCTAAAATGAAATACAATTAGTAATATTAACAAAATGTTGTACATGCAGAGAATCCAGAAGTCTACTAGTCTATCTAACTATATATATAACTAGCTAATATATAAAAGCAATAAATATATATAGTAAAACATATATATAACAATAAAAAGCCAAAAAAATATGCAGGTTGTCATGTAAAATGAAGGCAGGAAAATGTATTTTAATGATTCCATTATTTTAAATGGGGATTATTTTTTTCAGTCGTTTTTAAATTTAAAAAAAAATTATTATTATTATTATTTTTTTTTTGTAGACACATATAGCTGCAAAAGCTCCATTTTTCTCTTCACACTCCGTTTGGCCAAATTAATGAGCTGTCAAGTGACATCTTTGGTAAAGTTTTGCCCTTTTTTAACTTCACAGTGTTTTCACTTGTGGGATTTTTCTCTTAAGCAGAGCCACCGCTCAAAGTTAACCGACTTTGGAGGAATCTCCTTTCTGCAGAAACTAAAGCAAACTTACTGTTTAAAGGATTAAATAAATACATCATTGAAATGCTAATGCACCATGATACATATGGATATGAGATTCCTTTTTTTTTTTTTTCTTCCCCCGGACAGATTCTGATTAACAGAAAACCTAAACTTCTCTTTTGTCCCGCTGCAAATGTAATAGTGCAGTCACTGGTCCCCATTGCACTTTTGAGCACTAATGCAGAAAAAAAAACCCAAGTTGTTTATTACAGTGGCTGTCCTCAGGAGGGCGCTATAAACCAGGGTCAACGCTGCAAAGCCTACACAAGGAGTCAAGAAATTCTGAAAGTAAGAGGGAAAATTCCTGCGTCATTCGATGAGGATAATCTGTTGATGTGGCTTTTTGATAGAATAGATGATACACTTTCAATACCTTTTCTGACATGTTATTGGAAATTAGTGCTGCACTTGTCTGTTCTGTACCTGAGAATGTCAACACAGAACAGTTTCAGTATGTGTAGAAGTTACTGCTACGCCTCAGTTTGTGCTCATGTGTTATTGTTACCTCAAACTGTGTTGTTCAATGGCTTTCTGGGTTTTTCAGTCATTATCAGGAATTAACGCTTAAACAAACAAAACAAAACAAAATGTTCACCACGGTGTTACTAATGACAAGACATGAGAGGCACAAACAGGAGCTTCCGCTATGAGAACTTGGTAAAGATGAAGGCTTCAGATCCGGAGCTCAGATGTGGGAGATGTACAGGTAGGTGCTGTTGATGCTCCAGTCGGGGGGGAAGTCCTGCACTGCGTGGGTCTTGACGTGTCTCTGCATGGCTACCAGGCTGCTGCAGAACTCCAGGCACACCGTGCACCGGTAGGGCGCCGCGCCGCCGTGAGTCCGCAGGTGCTTGATCATGGCTGAGTAGTCCCGCGAACGCTGACCACAGATGCGACACTCGAAGGGTTTCTCCCCTTGAAGTGGAGAGAACAGGGGCACAGGAAGCAACAAGAAAGGTGTGTTTACTTGTGAAAGGGTCCCTAAAACCATATTCACCGCCAAGTTCGAGCATTGGCTCGTTAAATATGCATAGTTTAATATTTCGTCAGGGGCCAAAATGGAAAAACCCCAAACTCAGATGCTATGCAGCCGTATTATTTAGCTGCAGTTTTCCTTTTCAGATATGAATTCTGTAAATGAGTGAAATGACATAAACTGGGCCACTTTCATGCAAATCATGCAGCTCTGCACAACTTGCATTTATGTTCCACTGAGTCAGTTTTCCTCTATGATTGGAAGTCAGCGTAGCAAAAACCAAAACTCGTAAACGTGCATCAACTGTCACACTGAACAAAACTTACATTTATAAAAGTAATTAATTAGGCAATTGAAACTCAACAGCAAATCCTCTCAAGCAACAACCTTCGAACATCTGACAGTCTGAGAAAATGTACTGTAACATCTATTATAAAAGGGTTTAGCACCTTTAAGTTTTCTGACAGATTAATATTCAAGTTTTAGATGTAAAATTGCTCGTAAACGTAGAATAAATTTAGGTTGAGGGATGAGGACTTATCTTTAAAACTGTGGCCTATTTAGAGGCCTATGTTTAGCCCTAATCTGTGGTTGAGCACATTGTGTGCTTTAGATGAAACGTACACGGCAGCGTTTTACCCACAAGTTTACATTGTTTGCACTCGACAATGCAGATAAAATGCCGGACACCAGTAATCTACAGTGGAAATTTCTGATGAAGCTTTTGCCAAAGTTCCTGCGTGCTAATAAAGCTGCGAGGACGCACTTGTGCACTGCTGCACAGCACTAGTATCCGGACGTGATGTTCGCTGTTGATCGATAGATTTTCTGTCTCACTCGAGTTTCAACTCTTCAACTTTCAATAGTCAATATGTTAACCTTTAAAGTGTTGCGTAGTGAGAAACTGTCAGCTTTCTGGATGATGGTTACGTTTTTAAAAACAGTCAGCAGGAATGCAAAGCAGAAATACTTGGTGATAAATGGTTTCGATCATTCAGAAGTGCTGACACACTCCTGCAAAAGCCTTTAAAGAAAGAGTGTTTTGTCAAACATCTGTTTAAGAAGGAAGACATTTTCTTTTTCGTCATGCAGACCATCTGTCTCTGACTTGCTGCTATTATTACTTTTCAGCACTGACCTTTAAAACTCACTTTTTAGTCGATGGCCCTTGCAACTTTCTTTACACTTAATTTGTACTTATTTTATATAAATATATATCATATTTTTTCCCAAAATGTATTAGCCGTCACTGTGTGTCGGCCTCGTCCTGGACCCCAGCACGTGATGTCTAACCAGCACCATAAGTCACGTAGCTAAAGTTTAGATTTAGAAAATAGAACTTACAGTTATCTCTGTTCGTATGACTAATCTTAGTGAAATGTGAACGTGTCAAATGTCAAGTTTGACGCTGCAGATTAAACTGCGAGCCTACCGGTGTGAACGCGGTGGTGCGTGTCCAGCTGATGCTTCAGACTGAACTTCTTGGGACAGTGTTGGCACTGGTAGGGTTTTTCTCCTCTGGGGTCACCTCTGGTCTCGGATTCGCGCTGAACCGCATCTCCTCTTCCGCAGAAGCGACACCCTGCGCAGGCTTTACCTGTGAAAAAACAGCACCGAAAACATGAGGGAAAACAAGTGAAGGTGTGAATCCTGTGGCAAACAGGGTGGCATGGCTGCTCACGAAACCACCATGTTGGGTACAATGCGGTTCAGTTAGTGAAATAGCCAGCCAGTTGAATTCATATTTACTTCATATTTCTACCTAAAACAGTAACAAATTCACATTTAGTTCTGCGTTTTTGTGTTTTTTTCTTTACCTCCTATTATAAATGTTTTACCACTGGAACTGAGATCTACACGTCACCAGCATATTGCGTATTAAGACTGGATAAAGACGGATCTGCAGCTACGAGATGATTAATCTAAAATTTGGATGAAATAAAAAAAGATAAAATCAATGAAAATGAAAATGAAAAAAAAAAAACACAACAACATTTGCTCATAGGGGATGAAGGGAATCTTTGCATTTATTGGGGCTTTTTTATGTTTATTTTTATAACATTACATCTTTAGTCCAAAACTAATCTAAATGAATATTATTGTATCTTAGCAATAATATCTAAATTAGTTAAGTTAGGCTCCGTGATGAATAATAATGAAGGGTCTTAGCTACGTTACTACATCAGTAGATTAATCTGCATAAATAATGACACTGTAGGTTTTAAGCCTTAATATGTGTTCTGGTCAGGCGAGGTCGTATTTTATATATTGTGATTGGTTAAGTTAAGGTTTTAATGCATAATATGTAAATGAGTCTGGTAAAATCACATCATAAATAACACTGTAGAGTCTTAACCCAAATATTTAACTTGTAAATTCATCATGCAGAACCTATTTGTTTTTTTTCTTTTCATCCCACTGCAATGGCTGTTGTTTTAAATGTTCTACATGAAAAACAACGATTTGATTTGAATTAATCAATTAAACAGGACATTAAACGGCAAATGATTTTTTCATTGATGAGTCCTTTTAAAGTTTTTTGTATCACTACAGACTCTGTGAACTTGTGACAGGAATTTTTCACTCTATTTTTTTTTCCTCACCGCTTTACATATCAAATCTTTAAGTCGACTGAAATGAAAATTGAAATAACAAGCAGCTGCTTAATTGATCGTGTGTGATATTGTGGTTTTTACAGTCGTGCTAAAGCTCTCGTTAGCAGTGACTCCCCGAGCTTCTCGACCTGAACAGTTTGTAACGAGAGCTTTTATAAGATATATTAGTGCAACATTTTGTGTTTCAGAGACAGAGGTCTATTTGTGGCCAGCATCCTGTTGCAAGACAATAAATTCAGTTTGTAGAAACCGACTTTCCTGTCACTCTGCATGCATGTCTCCTCTAAAAAAAAAATGACAAAGGTGTGAGCTTGAGGTTAAGGCAGCAACAATGAAACTTTTTCTACACCTTATATTTTTTAGGGTCTCTCAAGTGAAAACAGGCCTCGCAGTATAGACAGGATGCTGAAACAAGAAGGGGGGAGTACTGTAGTGGGGGGAAATTGAGACAATAAACCACAACAATTGAACACTTACCACTCTAAACACAACCTCCTGAGACCTGTTGCCATGAACAAGTTTCCTGTCCAATATATTGCTTCACGTTTCACTTTCAAACACCAAACACCTTGAAATGCTTAGATTTTTGTGCAGGTAGGAATTCTTGGGTTGCTTGTTTGCTTGATGCAAAAAAACCCTCCCTGAAAATCACATTCGCTGTCGCACAAACCCAAATCTAAAACTATACATGAAATGAAGAAACGAGGGTCGGACAAGAACACATATAGCAACAGTGAGTGCAGATTTTCAGAAAGCAATTGGACAGTTTTATCAGCGTTACCACGGCCTCATCTGCTGCAGTATTAACATCATGTTCCAGAGATGTTCAAAATCAGATAAAAAATGTTTATCAGCTTGATTTTACACTTACACACTGCGCACACATAGACGCACAACCTGTTAGTGAAGCTGTTTTTTTTTGTTCCTTACATTTATATGAGCAGAATTTATGATAATAAATCAATATGTTTGACTTTTTTGGTATAGGACAAACCGCTGCTGTGATGCAGTACATACTGTATGCGTGTATCTAGCTGTATCTAGTAACCACACTACAGCTCCTGCTGCACCATGCTTTCAAAACCACAACTCTCTTTATCACTTTCCATTGCGTAGCTACGTAGCTGGAGTCTGCCGAGGCAAGGGGTCATGACAAGAACTGTGCTGCTATCTTGTTAAATTGATCTTTTCTGCACAGGATAACCACCTCTGCAGCCGTCGTCATACTGTATAGTCATAATAGTATTAAAACAATCATATTTTCTGTTTCTATTAATCACATCATTACCTAATTGTGTGGAGGCTGACTCCCGCAGCACTGGATCATCGAGGAGAGCTGCACTGCAGTGCTGGCAGCCTTTAACTCTCTCTGTGCTGGCTTTGGCCGCTTCAGGGTAACTGAAAAAGACATTTTCTGATGCAACAGTTGCACAAAAAAAAAATGCACCTAAGCTCTCATATGTGTGGCAAAGACATACATCACTCCAGAAATATAAAGAAAGGAAATGTCATCACATACGAACTGCCAGTCTGCATATGTTGTACAGCATTATCATATATTACATCTTTAAACACCCTTTTCCTTCCTCTCCGCTTCCAACCACAAGATATGTATAGCGCTCGCACACATTTAAATTTGAGAAAATGTTACAGTAGGTAACAGGATAACAGAGGATACTGAAAAATAGCTACTTTTTTCCCCCCACAAAGACACATAAAAGTTATTTCTTGTGGTACAGACATGACCAGACTAAACACTGAAAGCATGTTTCAGTGGGTGGAAAATCTTGAAAACTGCAAAGGAGGGGAGAAATTTAGGGGGCTCCCCTTTATATGTGCTGCTATTCTGTGTGGAACACGGTCTAATGCGTGCCTAGAATTAGGTAAATCACAGAAAAACAAAGTCAAGTAGGTTTTCACACTTATTACCACAGAAGACTGTGGTAAATTCAGTCGCAATTAGAGCAAAATCTTCTTTCAATGCAAGTTTAAAAAAAATATATATAATAAATAAATCACAAAAAAAAGCCTTAAAATCTATATTTAGATTAGTTGGAAAACGAACTTGTGCATCTTTTTGTGCTTTGGAGGTTAATGGTTTCTTAAGAAAGCGGTTGGTAGACTTGGACTGGCAGGGAAGGGTTAACAGGTGAAACTGATCTGGAAAGTGAAGGAGGCTCGATCACACACACACACACACACACACACACACACACACGTCTACCCGAGCAGCGGCAGTGAGTCAGGTATGGTAGCTGTCGCAAAGGAACAACTGAGCTAATTAGGGGATTCTGAATGACTGTGAGAGGAAAAAAACATGGAGACAATGACTGAGAGTGAAAAACCAAAGTTTCCAAAATCATATCCAAAGTTGTGTCTTACCTTGGCTCACCAGTTTGAACGCTTGTCCCGGTGAACACTCTCTGGTTGGGCCTTTTTCTCTTCAGCAGGCCTTGTTTGATGATGCTGCCCATCCGTGTAGATCCGGCGTAAAGGTTTTGCGTATAACGGGGATGAAAGCCTGAGTAGCCCATTACAGAGTTCTGACCTGGGGTTTGGAAATGGGGACCCAGTAGGGGCAACATGTGGGGAGTGGAGAGGGAGAATGGGTACGGTACTGAGGACTGATTCGGGGACGGAAGTGGGTGAGCTGCGATGAGGTTTGAGTAGTTTTGTGCTATTCGTCTCAACGTAGTCACCGAGTCCCACATGTTTGCAGAGAAAGTCCAGGGAGGAGAGAAAGAGGAGCTGCTAGAGGTCGGCCTGCTTATAACGCTGTCTCTGGTGTACGACGTTGGGGACAATCTGGGCTTCCTTCTAGGGGATTGTGGACTGTTGTGGTTTTTATCAGAATCGGGAGGGTTGTCCACGGCTGCCTGTGCTTTCTCTACTGGGGAACATGTCTCTTGGAGTTTGTCTTCATGAACTGGACGTTTCATTTGATCTCTCTCCTCCTTCTCTTCTTTGACATCTGTGTTCTCCCCGCTTTCGTCCTCCTCCCCGGCTTTGTAGTCGAGAGCATCCAGTCGCTTCCGGCACTGGTCTTCCAGCAGCTGCATCTCCAGCAGCCGAGCAGCTCTGAGCAGAAGCCGCAGATCATCCGGGGACACCTCCAGGGATTCGGTGTAGGTGAAGTCCAGGACTTGCTGGAAGGTGTGGGGCGAGAAATACTCCAGAGCGCAGTGCACCGGGCTGTCGACGTCTCCGTGGGCTAGCTGCTGTGCCAACGTTCTGCTTGCACAGGCGAGAACTAACCGATGAGCCCTGAAAGTCTGACTCTTTACCGAGATGATGGCATCGCAGAGTGTCCCGGAGCGGCGCAAGGCATCGGCCTGCTGCAGGAAGTGGAAGTATTGGGTGTTGTCGATTCGGATCATTTCTGAAGTATGTAGAAATATGATTATTGGTCTGAGAAAAGAAAGTTAACAAACAAGATCCTGTCAGATTACGCCCACGCTGCGGTACAATCAGTTCCATTTAAATGGCTATTACGCAACACTTCTAGAAACTTGGAAAGATGGAAAAGAAGCAACTCAACAATAGATATTTGACTTGTGATTGACAGATAATGCATTTTTACTGCGGTTTGTATAGTTGTTTTTTTCTCTCCATCCTTTCCATGCAACATTGCTTGCAGTGAGAACTGAGGGGGCAGAATGTATCTGAGGTGGTTCACACTTTTTAAACACATTAGAAAAAATTTCCTTCATCACAATTGAACAAATGCACAAAAAGTCTCGGTGGTGTGTGGAAATGCGCCCCGCTATGTGACGGCTTTGATATTCGGAGCTCGCATACACACTCTAAAAGCCACAAAGCCCTAACAGTATATGAAACCATGACTAATGACTGTACACGCAAGTAAACATGAGTAAAGTTTGAACATCAACAACAATAAGACTGTATTTGGGTGCAATAAACATCAAAGGCGAGAGCGCGCAGGGGGTGGAATATGCAAATATCTAAGCATGTAGCAGAAATATTTGGAATTTTACGTGTAAAATTGAGAATACATGGACGAAAATGCCGCGGCGGTGCATTTGAAACTACCGGATGCCTGGGAGGTTGTCGACTTCACACAGTTTGAAGTCTATAATGAACTTTTATGATTATACAGTGTGCGGTCGGTTTCTGCAGCGCAGGTCACAAGTGCTGTGAGCTATTACAGAGGGTTGTCGTTGTGCGTGTGTGTGTGTGTGTGTGTGTGTGTGTGTGTGCAATTGCAAACCCATTCTGATGGTGACTGTAAATGGAAAGTAGATGTGAAACGAAATGACATTTAGTTGTCTCATTACTGGAATAAACGAGAAAAAAAAAAGTGCATACGATGTTTTGCACGCTTTCAAAATCTCTCTTCGTCGCTCTGTTGATATTTAAATTAGTTTAATTAAGTGAGTTTAAAATTTTGCATCGAAATTAGAAATGACCGTAAAACAATTTCCCAATATTGCATTTAAAATGACAACAAACTGCAATGTTTTCCAAAGACATTTTAGCACGTTGTATCTGTAGCCTTTGAAAAGTTTTATTTTTGCGGATGTATTACATGTAGGTGGTACGACATGCAGCACTGAGAGTGAAAGTAACAGTAGGGCAAGTCATTGTCAAAAGTACAAAGTTTCTTAGATTTACAGTATGACGGGGGTCAGTCCGCCAGCTAAAGGTTGCACTTTAGTTTTATAATGTTAAAAATATAACGTCACCACACAATAAAACAAAACGCTGCGTGAACGGTGTTCAGAGAAGGAATTATCGAGCACCAAGTTAATCATCTGCATACGTGGATATAAAGCAGCACCCGTTTTAGTCACTGCGACATTTACGGCTAACCTTTTGATATCTTCATCAGCTTTCTTTTATTATCCATATGTACATCCAGTGATAAATACAAATTCATCAAGTGATTTTTAATAAAGAATGTCAAATTAAAATTGCTTTTGTACATTTTTTTTGGCATTTTGTATAACGATCTTTTTAATCGTGTGAATTTCGGCTGAATAAACGGCAACAACATAAATGTGTTTATTGTGTAGAATAATGTATTATTAATATTTTTTTTAGCAGTTGGAGATGCAAAAAAATTGGTAATTAGGTGGGTTGGTCCATAAAGGAGTCACTATTATATGTCACGCTATTTTTAGTTAGAGGAGCATTTATATGGTTAAAATATAGAATATATTTTCTGCTTATATATACATAGTCCATAAAATAATGTTGCTTTCAAAACCTTTAGTGTAAGTTAAGCGCCAAGTCTTTGTCTTCAACTTTTTATTACGTTCTATTTTCAAATACAGTGACTGTCTTTCTGTTCATGTTGCACCGAGTGCTGTCATTTTTATTTTTATTTTTTTAATTATACGTTGAAGTATCTCCAGAGGCTGCTGGCCTGTAAATATATACATTAAAATAAATACATAAATAAATAAAATACTGTATTTTGTTTAGCTAAGCTTTGTGCTCCTAACTAACCTCGTCTGACACTTTTTGACACCATAAGAGTACGTGTGATTTTGTAGTGAACCGGCTTGCACAATAATCAATTCGCCCTGCTGCAGCTCAAAACAACAATGTGCAGAGTTGTGACATAGTTAGCAAGGCTTTGAGCTCCTTTCAGCCACAGTAGAATCTCACACGGGGGGAAAAACCATGCATGCATGTCAGATTTACACATCCTTTGACAGGACATGAACTTACACTCAGCCTCCTCACAGCTCACATGAATAGGACTACAGACACAGGAGAGAAGCCTGCTTTGAAAGACTCCGTGGGCTTAAGGAACATCAGTAGCAGAGTACGAGAGATTGTGTTTACACCAGATCACAGAAACGCCGCTAAAAAAGACCAAAGATGAGCAGTGTTAAGGTGGATCTGCATGTGGTTTCGAGTCTCGGAAACTTAACAAGCAGCGAGCTGCATGAATGAGACACTTACCGGGCGTTTAGTGTGAAGTCTCCCTGGAGAACGATGAGCTACCTTGCATCATGACTGCGAAGTGACTAGTAAAGTGACATGTCTGTCAGGGCATAGGTTATGCTGTGGGCCAGGGTGGTTTCCTCTTCTGTCTCTAAGGTCCCTCCTCTTCAAGTTAACTCTCTCATTGGTGCATTGATTACAGGGCTTGCTTTTTGTGATTAAGAAAAAAAGAAGTAAACCAATTCTTCTTGTTTTATTGTTCTTAAAGCATAGAGGAAGTTTTACGGTTTCTGTACTTCGTGTCTCGTGTTGTTGTTGCATGCAAAACCACAAACTAAACAACTGTGATAACACTTTCTGGAACAAAAAGTGTGATTGAGAAAGAGGGAGAAAAACGAGGACAGCGGTTTGGTGGATATTCGCGTGCCTCACTGATGCTGCGTACCTGTACATGCTGTACATGATTTCCTCCCCTCCAGCGTCACTCGCTGGTCACTACATTAATAGCCTGCTCTGTGCTGAGACAAAAACCACTTCAAAGACACTGATCTGTGACAGGAAGCAAAGAGGCCAAAGCCCAGTGGTACCGACATGCAGGGCTACACTCGACTGAAACCTGCAGCGTCGAAATAGAAATATCAGCTTTGTTTTTTTGACATGTTGTTGGTGTGACAACCTGTAAAAATAGGCCAACTGTAGACAGCCGGTCACTTTATTGCACCTTTGTGTTTGAGTATCTTTACATGCCATCGCTGTGCATTTAACGCTTTATATTGCCAGGAAATCATTATTATCTGCTACATATTTCATTTCCCTTTTTGTTTTCTCCTGTATTTATAAAACTCCTTATTATGGTCAGACTTTCAGAAGCAACTTGGTCTTGTTTAACAGATTTTTTGCTTGTATTTTTTTTTTTAAACGCCAATTTTACTACATATTACTAAGCCTAACCCTTCACACATGGGTGGTATTGGGTTTCATTAGTTAACAGCACAAAAAACTGTCCTCCACCTTGCAAATATGTTCAAGTCAGATGCAACACTACACAGAAATAAAATGTCTCCGAGGTTTTTGAATCTTGTGCTGTCTTCTTTAAGAACTCTTGTTATACAGTATAATTTAAATTTTTGGTATTTGTGCAGTAATTTTACAAACAGTCTTTGTATAATTCAGCTGGCAGGCAAAGTTAGCAATTAGATTTAACATTTGGATTGGGTGGAGACCAAAATGGAGCTAAAATATGAGTAATATCGGACTCACACTTGGACTCAGATTTCGAGTTGCAGACACGCAACTTCAAATCGAAAGGATTTAATAATGTCGCTCCAACACCTGCAGGATTTGAGTGTGTTTTCTGTGTCGAGCAGTTTGTTGTAAACTTTAAATTCATAACCCAGCGTGAAGGAGACCTTTTAGCGCTGCTGAATATGCTGTAAATGTACAAAAAAAACTAAAAACTAAAAACTGAACACAGCTATCCAGTCATGCTCTCTGCAGCACCTGTTCCGGCTGCGTTTTGCTGTACGGAGAGCCTTGTTTCTGCTGTTGCTAACCGTGTCAGCAGCCAGTAGCAGGTAGATTACAATTAGAGAGCAGATGGCAGCGTTTCTGATGCAATGAAATCTGATTAATAGGAGAGCGTGTAAGCCAATGTAATATCACATGGCTAAAGTCCTTTGAAGTGGCATCTGGTATGAGTTGCGGGGCAGCAGAGGGCCAAACAGGAAGGTGATCGATGGTAAAACGTTCCTGTTCATGGTCAAGATTGTGAAAACACCTTTTACATGAATTATTATCAGTGTCAGCTTTGGACAGTAAAACATCACAAAATAAAATCCACTGACATGTTGAATGTTTAATTGCTCCAGGAACAAGACATTTACGGTTATATTTGTTATATTTCAAGCAAGTTTAGTGCGTATGAGCTGAGTGTTATTAGCACAGTTGTGAAAGTGAAAGCCAAACGTATAGATGCTATCTCTGATACATAATGTTCAAATGATGTCCCTGTTGCATGTACTCATGCAGATAGACACGAGAAAGGCAATCTTCCAGTAAGCTGGAAGGATGATTAAAGATGTCAGATAGTGCTGAGGTTTTTAGTAGTTCTGATGCACACACCAGTGTTTGCCTTTGGTTATTCAGAATGCAGAAAAGGACATTCATACTTATTCATAAGTGCTATTTTTAAATCTAACTCCATTGCTTTTTAAAGGTCATGGTTTTGTGAAGTGCTGGTTCTTACAACAGATTTCTTGTAGTAACAGTGAACACATATTGTGAAAAAGGAGGATGATTTAATCATCACATTTAAAGGAGACAGACAATAATGCCACTAAAGAGGAAGTTTTTCAAGCAATCGTCACTCTATTCTCTTCTCAATTCATTGGATTTGAACAGGCCTCACCTACAGAGCACACATCACATCATGTCAGCTAAAAATGATTTAATCCTGATAAAGTTCAACCCCAGAAGCTGTTTAACAAAAAACATTTGAAGCATTTTAAACCCTACATTCATGTTCACTAGTGTGCAGCCTTTTTTTTCTTTTGCCTGCCTTTGTTCGTGCATCGCTGCATATTTCAGCACCACCTGCCGATCAGGGGAATAGTGTCAAACCGCTGGCAGGAATGTGCAGCACGCCACTGATGTGCACATGGCTGCATGTAGTCAAGTGTGTGTGCAAAACATAAACAGGCAGCCTGTCTCCACAGCGCTACTAGAGGTCAAACACTCCACAGGAAACCTTGAATCTGTGATTCTTTTGCAAAAGAAAAAAAGGCGCTCTGGGGGATGCAGAAAAAAAAAAAGCTCTTGTTTCACACTGTGTCCGCTTTGCATTTTGCACTGTAAAATCTGGTAAATCATATCAAACAATAAAAAAATAAACATTGCTTTGATAATCCACTCACTGTAATCAGGTACATTTGTCAAATTTAAATCATTTGCACTTTCAGGTTTCTCCAGAAATACTTTTATCCCCTCATATAATAAATAAGTTAAATGGTACAAACTATTTTGTGGCTTTTTTAATTGATAAATCAGAGGAGTCATGTGCTTTTTATTCTGATTAAACATGTCTGCCTCAGTGAAAGCTTTTTTTTTTTTTTTTTTTTTTTTTTAAACATAATGATATACAACTTATCAGTCATCTAATCAGTCATCATTGTGTAGTCATATCTTATGGTTGTGATGGGTACTTTGGTTTTACCTGGAAACAGCTTCATAGAATAAACTGATAAAATCTTGAACAGGAACATTTTCCGCCCAAACTGTGTTTGCCTAACAAACAAAATCAGTTAAATATAGAATAGCTATATTATACTCCACTACTTAAAAACTCTTAAGTACACACCTGTGAAAAATCATTTAAATATCAAATGATTCAAAATCAAATCACATCTCAGTTATTAAATGATTTCTATTGAGTATTTCCTCTTATGAACAGCCAAAAAGAAATGCTTTGGAAAGACTATATTGAAAGTACAGGCCCCAAAGGAGAAACTCAGAACAATCAATTGTTATTTCTAAGTAGCCTAAATATACGAGCACGGTTATAAAGTGAGCTGGGATCACCAGGACTCAGGGTTGGACTGTGAATGCATCATGGAAAAGAAGCCAAAGGACCTGAAAAACACTGAGGTTTCACAATGATGGAAAGGCATAACGGAGAATTGGCGACTAAATAAAATCAGCTAAAACACAACTGCAGCTTTAACTCAGACGTATGTAGCGTGCCATGTTAGCTCTCCCCAGCACCACAGTGGCTGTCCTCCTAATGAAACCACCAACAATGTGCGGCTTTCAAGCTACTTTCACAATCTATCTCTGAAAAACAGACAAGTGCCTCAGAGTTGGCACAGAGGTTATTAATGGAAATCAGAGTTTCTGTGACAGCTCAGACAGTGTGAAGCACAGTTCGTAACATTACCGCCTACGGTATCCGTGAACAACACTCCTGCATGTTCTTCGGCACAAAACTGACGGATGAAAGTTTGCGAAAGGTCATTTAAAAAAAAGCCTGATGAAAGTTGGGAACAATTTTTGGTCAGACAAGATAAATGAATTTGGCTCAGAGCTCCGGTATGTTTGGTGTGAACCTGGCCAGGACTGCCACAGTGTATGCACAGTCCTGGCAGTGAAGCACGGAGGTGGGAGTGTGACGATACGGGGCTGCACGGCTACAAAAGGTGTTATGGAAATGACATTTTATAGATGCACCATGAGTGTCGGTGGATCTGCCAAGATACTGACTGACAAGATGACTCACTTTCTGCATATGTTTGACAGAAGAGGAATATTCCAGCATGATAATCACCCAAAGCCCACTGTCAAAGCATCCGTCCAAACGTTGGTGGACCACTGGTACGATGAGGAGGGTTGAGTTTGTCATCAATTATAAAGCTGGACATTGGAAGTATTATAAAAGATTTGAATCCCAGTCCTGACTTTTGTTGAACTGATTTCCTATTGTGTGGGGGGGTGATATCTTTAATATCCATCCATCCATTATCTATACACCGCTTAATCCTCACTAGGGTCGTGGGGGGCTGGAGTCTATCCCAGCCAGTCTATCACAGGGCTACACTTAGAGACAGACAACCAAGCACACTCACATTCACACCTACGGACAATTTAGAATCACCAATTAACCTCAACATGTTTTTGGACTGTGGGAGGAAGCCGGAGAACCCGGAGAGAACCCACGCTGCACGGGGAGAACATGGAGACTCCACGCAGAAAGATTCCGGTGCCCCCACCGGGATGCGAACCGGCAACCTTCTTGCTGCGAGGCAACAGTTATCTTTAATATAGTAAATGTAATTTTACATAACAAATACCTTACTGTTCAACTTAGAAGTGATGCTGTAAGGTGTCGCAATTCTGAAGGACTTAATATTCAGCTGCACAACATTCTACTTCTAAAGGTGTTTGGTCTGATCGAAAAGGTATTTTCATTTCTATGTTAAATCTTCTACGCTGCGCTTATTTTTCCGTGCCCAGCGGCGTTTCCATGCCGACGAGCTCTTAGAGTTTATTTAAGAAGAACTTAAATCCACTCTCTTATGCACAGCTAGATAAACATTCGGCTGAAAGTAATGTAAGCGTGAGGTGCAGATAGAGTTCAACGTCTAGCTTGATTCCGCCTCCTTTAAACTCAAGTGTTCCTTGTACTTGTCACCTATTTGGTCATGGGACATATAAATATATACTGTGTTAACCTCAATGTACTTCCCTTGATAACAGGTGTTAAATGTTGATGCATCAACCTGACATTTCTTTTCTTAGTATCCTTGTAAGTGTTGTTCCATTTCTGGTTTAATACTTTTTGTAATAACTGACCAGCCGCTAGAGAATAACCTGGCTGTATGTTCCTGTGGGCGCGTGCACGTGTACCAGCACACGTAGATGCTGACATTTGGGGTTAGTGCACATGCATTTTCTAGCATTCATCATCGAGTGTTGCTCAAACCACTGGACAGTCTCATAGATTCCTCTCAGAGAAATTAGCATTATACCAACCCTCAAATGTCATCTTGTGCAATATGGGAAGCCAGAGCTGATGCGCAGGGCTTCACCTACCAGTAATATCACTACTGTCAGCCCCCCCCACCTTCCCCTCTTCACCACTCCTCAGCACCTGCTATCCCCTCGCTGTCAGTTGAACGCTCACCATCAGACACCCTTCAACCAGACATCGGTGCTGACTCACTGAAGTGTCTAACTGTGTGGGGTAGGCAAGGTGAAATGCTCGTATGTGCATCTTCCACATGTCCGTCACCGCCCACAGGATTCTAATCATCTTTAACTTTTAGCAGAACACCTCATGCAGCAGCAGCAGCATCACCTTTGATCTACCTACCAAGGTTTTTAATCTCTGCGTACTGAAGGGTTTCATATTGTTGTTTTGTTGAATGAATCAAAGTGTGACCGAACTAAACAAAAAAAAAAAAAAAAACGGACCCGAGAAACCAAAACTAGACTACACAAAAAGGAACTAAAAAAAAAAAAAAAAAAAAAAAAAAGAAGACGAAGAAGAAAAAGAACGCACACTCAGACTGCGATGTGTTTAAAGTCTGGGTTAATATGAGTCGTCTTACATTACCACAGTGGCGGTGTGTGAGCTGTCGACTTCAGAGGAACCGCTACCAAGATGACTGATGCGCGCTGGAGGTATCAATGGCAAACTGTCACTGTACAGCCGCACAGCCTTTTCACAGTAATCTGGGTAAGCAGGACTACCCGTCAGTGTTGTGGTTTGGAAGAACTTGTGCAGGGCCAGGGGCTGGGGCTTGACGCTTCTTTGTAATTTCGTGGGTGAAGGAAGTGTGGGGCCTGCCCACGCTACTTGACTGTCAGGTGAATTGCTGCTTGGGAACTGTGTCAAGGCGACTTTTTTTTCTCGACGCTTTTACCGAGGGTCTGCCGCTTATCGATGCAAATGTTCAGGAATAGGATTTGCTGATAGCAGACATTTGCTTAAGACGTGAAAGGAAGTGAACATCTGCACACCACAGCTACAGTGCAACATTACTCATCGGCGCTAAATGAAGTTCACAGGAAAAATAGTCATCAGGTACTGACAATGAGCTGGAAATTTTAATTAGCTGTACTGTATATGTGTTACATTGGTTGGTTTTCTAAGTCATCCGGGTCATTTAGGCTCCAGATCCAAAAATAAAAGCCTCCCACTGGGTTTCCTCATTGAATGCATATTGCTGCCACCTTATAAACACAACTTAATATACACATTTGAGTGAAACATTCTTTTTTTTTCAGTTTCATACAGCTCAATAACCTGTATTTTTGGCTTCACAGGAATGGCACCACGGCTGAAACTCCATACTGAAAATGGAGACAAAACCTTATCGTGATCTTGGTTAAGATTCTTATCTGTTACAAGGTTTTACTACCAAATGTGCCACATTACGTCAATGTGACTGAAGACGATTTTACTTTCAGGCATTGGTGTCAGAGCACATCTTTGTGTTTTGAAGTATCTGAGCTGTCAGTAAAGTTGTATTTTACTTCACTTTAGGTTTCATTTTACCTAGAAATCAGCTGAGAATGTACATCAGAAGAAAAAGTCATTTTCCAGTGTGAGTAAAGCAGAAGGAGTCCCCCTTTTGACTCAGCTTTTGCATCACACGCCTGTTTTTTTTTTTGTCGAGGTTACATCGTGGTCAGTTTTCAATCTCCCACATATTTCCTCCATGACATGAATTAAATTTCCTTATGTGAAGAAGACAAGTTAAGAAGCACAGACAACACATTATGGGTCATTCGGTTTTTATTACACTATTAATTAGCTTGACCAGTTTTAATTTGTCAGATTGCTTGCAATACAGTTACACAGAAAACATTTTTGCCAAATTAGATCATCTGTCTGACTATTTATGGAGCATGTCTTTGGTTAAAGATCTGAATGAAAATGAAGAACAGCTCTATCGGTAATACTATCAACATCCCCCAGAATTACGCGGTAGAATTGAAATCAGACAGACAGAATCCGTGTCTTAACATTTAAGCAACCCGTACACAAATGGAGGAATTTGGTTCAAACTTGTGCTTAGTGCCACTCCTCGTCAATTAGGCAGAGGCCATAAATCTGTCTATGTTTCACATTTCTGAGCGTTATAAACTTGTCAGTGTTTTCTCATACAAGCTTCTAAAATTACATGTGAAAAGCATGACCCTTGATCCAACTGATTATTACATATAAATAAAAAATACAGAATAATTACATCCAAAACACAGCATTGTAAAAGGCAATAATGCAGCAATTAAAATCTCAATAACGTCGTTTATATTTCATTAGGGGTAGAGGGGAGGGGAGGGGAGGGGGGGGGAGTAAAGGGGGGACAGACCAACAAAGAAGTCTAGAATTTTGACAGAGGACGTAAGTACAAATGTGATTTGAGTAACTACAGTATACACCATTCTAAGTCTGCTAAATGCTGGTAGGAAACCTTCAGTGGTTTGGGAAACACAGGCAAGCTTATTCTCATCTATGGTTTCAGTAGTATCATTACAAGATCAACTGACTTAAACTGTGAACATACAATGTTTTCATTCACTAACGTAGCTGTACAAATTATACAAGGGCTATGACTTCTCTTAACCTGTCATAACGCAACCGCAACCTGCAATAAACCGGCCTAACGAGAGGATTAATGCTCAAATTAAACAAAACTCACAGTCCGAAAAGCTTCTCTGGAAGCATCCTTTTACATAAAAATAAAAAACAAAAGTCATAATTCAGTAATCTACTTTTTCCTTCAAATGAACAAACGCAGGTTTTTATTTTAATTTTTTTTTTCTCAACACAAAACACCCATAAATAAATAAAATATAACCTGATTTTGGTATGGATTATCTGCTCTAAAGCATATAGTTACAGACTGATGAACCAAAAGCAACATCCCACGACCTTTCTTAACCAAGATGGTCCGATAGAATCAATTGGCCAAACGGAAATCAAACCGACACACTAAGCGGTTAACAATCAGCCAGGGGGAAAAAAAACAACAAAGGGGGGCAATCCCTTTTTTCAATTGCCTATACAGGGTACTATGTTGATCATAAATATGACAAACTACAATGAGTCATTGGGTGAAAACGCTTTCCATGAAGAGAGTAACTTAAATATAGCATCTATGGAGCAAAGATGTTGAACTATCATGCCAGAGTGTGATCTGATCTTAGTAATTACTTCACACACCGACACTTGACGTTACTATAGCTGTGCCCTCTTCACACCCTGTGCAGTATAATTAACCCTCTGCTCTAAAACACACCTGCAAAACTGTGAAAAAATGACTCGGCTGCTACACAAAAGTGATGAGACGGGCATCAGGCATGTAGTCTGTTGGGTGTGTTGGGACTTCACTACTCCTACTAAGGTCTACTAGAGGGGAGGGGATGTTACTGGCAAAAAAAAGAAGATGGAATCTCAACGTCTACCTTAAATACATTCAGAAAGTAGTTGCTGTGTCGTTGTCTTGTGCTGGTTTTTACAACAGTCCGTTTTCAATCAGCCATGTTAGGAAAATGTTTCTCCTTCTCGTAACAGCACAATGTACTATTTTTTATTTTTTTTTAAATGTATTATTCCGTTACATCAATGCAAATTAATCATAGAAATGTCTACATCTAGTAGTAGTATGTATTTCTTACGTTATTTACAGTGTCCATTTTGAACGGTGACATTTCCGACTTTTCAAAAAAAAAAAAAAAAAAAGAAGAAGAAAAAAAAAAAAAAGCAATGACGTGAACAACACAAAGGAAATACAGCAGCATCGTACAACAAGTTGTCATGCTTTCAGTTTAAAACAACGGACTTCCGGTTATTCTGTTTTACAGTTCTTTAGGTAGCAGAACAAATAAAACAAACCCATTCACCGACTAAAGGAAACATTTGGTATATTTTTGCCAAATAATTAAGAGGGCAGATCCTCACAAGTCAAAAACATAGTGTTTGTTTTTTTGTTTTTTTTTTGTACCACCAGCACAAAGTTCTGTATTGATTCGTGTGTTTTTTTTTAGGATTCCTGTCTAAATGTCTCACACATTCACCTCCACGTCATTGCTTAATGCTTATATTTAATATTAGAGGTATCGTCCAATGTGACAGGAGCTCATGGAGGTAAATTTAGTGCAAACAATTAGCTGGGCGATTGGCCTTTTATCACATGTTAAATAGAGAGTTACACCATGATTTAACTAGGCTGTCACTCACACTCATCTACACAGATACGTCATATCTAACTGTGGTACAATTCGAACAAAGAGACTACTACTGAAAAATAAATACTATAAAGCATTATGCACCGTTTAAACTTTTTTTTTTCTAGTGAGGAGCAAGAGATCAAGTCATGCCGCTGGGATGAGGTGAACGTTTTTTTTTTCTTCAGGATTATGAAATGTTGTGGCACTGCTAATGCAAAGAACTATCCTCAGACTCAAAGGAGTATTAGTTTACAGTAGGTGGTGGTGGTGGTGGTGTGGGTTTTTGTAGCTCATTATTCACATTCTGGTAATGATGATTGGTTGTTGTTGGTCATTTACAATGGGTTTGGGATGTACCCCGTACTTATTCAGTTACTTTAGATTTGCATCGTAAATCCATCGGAGGGAGCGTAGCTGGGACACCACTGTAGGGAGGAGTGTGGGGGGGAAGGGGAAGGGAAAAGGGGAGGATAAGGGGATAAAACAGGAGGTCGGGCATGACTTGTTGGCAGCCCCGGGGACTTCAGTTGATCTGTTCAAAGAATTTGTAGGTGGGATTCTCGTAGCCGTGGTTCTGCATTTTGTTGAGCTGTCGTTCTTCTGGTGTCAGCATGGGGTCGACCTGCTGCGAAGCAAACAAGGCCTGGAATTATTACACACTAGAGACAAGCTTGAAGGACCAAACCATCAACTGAGATGTGAGTACGTCATTTACTGAAGATGTACGACTATACAGGTGTTGGAAAAGCAGGATGACTTCTGTAATTTATGGAGGGTTTGCGGTGGATCTACCGCAACTTCTTATCTTGTCAAAAGCTTCTTGAAAACACTGGCTGTTTGTCGACCTGGGATGGCTTTAACACCTCGATCTTTGCCTCCTTCACAAGTTTACCAGGTGACAATCAGTAAACGGAAATGACTAGAGTTTTGAAACTGTTCGGTACCAGTGGGATCTTAAACCTCTAAACCCCAAGTAGTTTCTGGGCGTTTCTTTGCACCCGTTACATTCTTACTCACCGTGGACTTTCTCACAAGAAAACTAATGAAATCAACAAGCGCCTCCAAGTACTCGGGAAAAAAAAGGTGACGCAACATACCATAAATATTTTACTACATATAGTTTTAATTTGTATCCATGCTTGCCTCCTCTCTGCTCTGTGCACACAGCCTGCAGTTCAGCCGAACAGTGTCGGAAATGTTGTCGTGTGACTGCTGGTTGCAGCTGAGTCACGAATAGCTTCACAGTTACATCACTTTTTAGTTTTTACAGACTCTCTTTAATGCAGACGCTTTATTTTTGGTGGGCTTTCAAATGGTTTGGTTTCCAATGGAGCAGAACGTCACAGATGAGTAGTTCACACACCATCGAAAAGCTAAAAATCTTTTTTGCAATTTGCGATGGAGTTACCGTAAATTCTGGACTATAAGTCGCTACTTTTTTCAAACACTTTGAACACTGCGGCTTAAACGATGATGCAGCTAGTTTATAGATTTTTACGAATTTGCCTCGAGGCAAAAGTGACATCAAGAGCGACAACGCAAGAGAGACTGAGGAAGTGTGTGATGAAGTAACTCTGAGGCTGTTCGATTCCGACACTGAAGACTTTAGTGGTTTTAGTGCGCAGGAGGAAGATGAAGATAGCGATCAATGACTTTTCCTGGTAGGCTGCTGTATTTTTTATTTTCTTAACTGGCCGTGTTACAGGCAAAAAAGCATTTACGGTACGTACTTAATTACAAGTTTAAAAAATCTTTCTTTGTAGATATCTCATGTTACAACGTGGACACCTGCGGACTTTAAATGTACACATTTTGCTTTCTTTTTAAAGTGAGTGGGTGTGGCTTACATTCAGGTGCGCTCAATAGTCTGAAATTTACGGTACTAATTGTTTCTCAGATGCATTGAGGAGCATAATGTTTAGATTTTTTTAGAATCTGGTTAGAGCAAATGTTTATTTATTTTAAAATAACACGAATAAAGTGATTTCGATGAAAATATTACAGTTTTTAGCGTACATTCATTCTCCTGACAGACTCACATGTCACACTTCAAGAACCTGAAATCAAGAATCAGAAACAACTCTTTATGTTGTTGCAGTCTCTGGATTTGAGAAATGCTGTAATTTTGGCAAAAAAATAGATAACATGCCACCGAACTTGCCGGCTGGTTTTGGGGTTCAGAGGGTTACGATTTTTGCAGAAATAACACCGCAAACGGATTAGACATTCTGAGAAGAGGCCCGTTTGAGGTGTGGTCCAGATCCTGAACTTCAAAGAAAGTGATCTATAAAAAAACATGTCTAATCATGATATTCAGCAGTTAATCACCACTTTGCCTTGAAGAAACACGTTCGCGGTCGATGCCTTCTGGGTGAGAGTTGTGAAGATTCACTCTCATATCTGTCAATTAGCCTCTAAAACTCACTAATTCTCATGTTATGTCTTGTTTGTTTAATCAACACAAACGCATCGAAGGGTGAAAACAACAATTATACTAATTTACACAGGCTTATATGCGTGACTATTTCTTGTGCCAAGCTGTCTGTTTCTACTTATTCCCAGTTTTCACACTGAGCTCCTGTAAGACAACCATTTTAAAGGCTCACACCAGAAGTTTGCATATTTTTAGCATTAAAAGTTCATATTTTGCTAAAAATAGAACATATTTCAAATGATTGGAGCAGCTATTAGTTTTCATATCTAGTTTAATGCAGAAACAAGCCTGCAATAAAATGTCACTTCTTACTTACTTGACCACAAATTAACCTTTGTTATCTTTTGCTGTGTAAAATTGTGTCACTGTGATGCAGTTCAAGGCTGTTGAACTGTTTTTAAAATTCTCTCTGTACATCCAGGCACACTTTTTGTCTGTGAAGTCAAAAAGCATCCAAAGGTAGTATGATGGTTATGAAGCTAACCCCTGAAATAGCCAAATATCAAGCGGAAGAAAGTGAAAATAGGAAAAGAATCCAAAGCGGTGTCACTGTGGGTGTCGTAAACATGTGCACTGTTTTCTGCTTTTAAACTATAAAATACCAAACCCCAGGCGTGGCCCTTTAAGACTGACTCAAACGAGTGTTCCAGCTTGGGTCGTACCTCTACGATGCCGTGGCTGATGGTGCCGTACGGCTTCCTGCGCACCAGCAGCAGACTGATAACCATCACCATGGCGATAGCCACGGCGACCACCAGCAGCCCCACCATGGCGCCACGGTTGAACGTCTCCAAGGCGTCCGGTTGCTATGAAAGAAGTAAAAGATGTGACATTAAAGAGGAGTGCAATGGAATAGATCGTTTTAATTGGAATTCACAGCAACATTTTGAAGCTTACCAGCTCATCTCGTGCAATCTCATTGGGCTTGACTACCAGCTTCAGCTCTGCAGAGGTGTTGATCTAAGAGTGAGGAAAGTATAGAGACATGAAAATGTGAGCTACACAAAGGACATATTTCTGTGTCTAACCCCTGTCACCTTGTCTGAACTGGAATCTATCTGGAACATGTCAAGCCTTTTAAATTGTCTAAAAAGACCATCGTCTTACCTTCTCCTCATATTCATAAGTTGGGCCTCTCTCAGACGTGGTGTAATCATATTCATCCTCTGCTAACATAAGAACAGAGACAAAAAAAAATGCAATAACACATTTAGATTTGAGGAAAAAGTAGGAAATATGAAACTGCAATTATTGCAAAAAGGAACATTCTATGTGGTTACCCTCTGAACCCCAAAGCAGTTTCTGGGCGTTTTATTTGTTCCTGTGACTTTTTAACTCACTTTAGTTTCATATTTCACCGCAAAATAAAGTCCTGCACCTCCATGGAAGCAGCACAAACATGGTCAGAAGTACAAAGAACTCAGAAATATCTTTTGTGTAGCATGACACACTTAGAATGCCATAAATCATAAAAAAGAAGAAAAAAAAAAAGGAAGTTGAATATTTCTAAAAATTGTTACAAAAATTAAAAAATCTGCAAAAAAAAATTACATATATTTTTCTAGGTGTAAGACATACTGAAAAAAATAGTGTCTCTACGTACTTTTTATATTTACAGATATGTTAGTATTTACATTTTTAATTGGTTTCTATCTGCTCTGTCTAAACAGAGCCATTTTACCTAAAAAGTCCCTGAATTATTTCCATGTGACTGTTGGCAGCAGATGAGTCATTTATAGCTTCAGAGTTGCGCCGAGGAACACAGATTTTTTTTTGTTTTTTTTTACTAAATCTAGTTTCACCAAATGATTTATTTTTGGTTTTTTTTTTTTAATAAAAAAAGTAAAATAAAGTGATTTTGATGAAATATCACAACTTAAAGCTTAGATTTGTGAACTTTCTGACCGCTCTTCCTGTTTCTACGGTTTCTTTGCCTAAATAGATCAAGTAAAATTTGGCATTTTTAAATAACACAACACGCCTTTCAAATCTGCAAAGTGGGTTTTGGGGTTCAGAGGGTCAAAGATACTGAATCCTGACTCACCTTTCTTATTAGACTGCAGTTCTGTAGAAAAAATGAGAGGAAAAAAATGCATCATTAACAAAAGCAACTAATGAGAAGACAGTTTTACAAGTCGCTTAAACAACTACAAGATGTTGGGACGTCAGAGATGCTAGTAAGAGGTGGATGTGTACCAATACGAGGAGGATAGGGCCTGTTCTGGAAGGCCCTCTCCTCTTCCTCTTCATCATCCTTCTCCTCTTCGCTCTCAGCCGGCAGAAGCTCCTCGGTGGTGCGAGTCTCAGAGAAGGAGGTGGTCATGAGCTCGCTGATGTCTCCTCGCTCCGCCTTGACCAGCTCCTCTGCAGACGACAGATTCAAAATCATCAATAACTATAAAAAATACAACACAGGGCGATCTGCAGATTTGAAGAACTATACGGAATATTTGCTGCAGCTTACGAATATCATTGTGCAGCTCCTCGGCCAGCGTGGGGTCTTTGTAGAGCAGCGCAAGACTCTGGTTCATCCTCTCCTCAATCACGTGGAGATGTGTGTACACCTGGAACATATAAAAAATCCATTCTGCTCAGGATTTCTGCCAAGAAAAGGACCAAATAGAGCTCAGAGGATAAGCCTTAGCTGTGAAAAACGAAGCAGTCGACTGGTTCCTTTGGTAAAAAACTACGTTCAGATAGATTATTTTTTTCTCAACATGGATATAAATCTGCCTTTTGAAGTCAGCGAAGTCGGGCTTTGATCTTATTTGAATGAAAAGAAGATTAGTAGCTGCTTCACATCTGTGCGTTCTGTAACTATTAATCCATCTGTAGGAACTTTTCAGCACACAATGTTCTGTATGTTTCAGCAGAAACGAGGCCCACATCCTCGAATGCAGCAGCGTGTGCGAAAAGCGTTTCCAAAGTAAAACACACCTGGAATTTCATCTGCTCGGCCTTCTGCGGGTCGACGGCCACGATGTGCTGGTAGTGCCTCAGTGTGTGTCTGCGGTCCTTCTGCTCGGCGGCCATGTAGCGCTTCAGGGCCTGCAGCACATGCTCCGGCTGCAACAGAAGCAGTTCAGGTGAGTCAAGGAGATGCCAGAAAAAAAAAAAATCTGAACCAGGCTTAACCGCTATGCTACCCCTCGGGATTCACTCACCTGAGGGGGATCGGACTGTACAGCGGCCAGGTAGTTCTCCAGGGCCAGGCGGCGGTTGTTGTTCAGAATGGCCTCGACTCTTTCAAGATGAGTCTCCACCAGCCGCTGCCTCTCTCCGGCGACCTGCTCCTCCAGCGTCTGCAGCACAGACTGGAAGTGCTGGAGAAGAGAAGACGAGGATGAGTGAAGAAAATTCTCATCGAGTTTGGAACAAAGCACGTCTAAAAATGCCTGCGTACCTCATTCAGGGCCTGTCGCTCTGACTTTGGCAGGTTTTTCGACTGGTTGTCTGCCTCGGCCCATTCCTTCATGATCTAAGGGATGAAAAGAGACAAAATCTGTTCATGTCCATTAAAAAATAAGCTATTTATTGGACATATCCAGTGGTTTTAAAATGTTAAATTAGGATTTGTGAGGAAGGGAATCCCTAAACCGATCAGACAGCAGAAAAAAAGGGACGATTTTGTCTGTAGAAAATATTTCTGAACAAATGGATGTGGATCGTCTGGAGTCACAACAACAAAAAAACAACTTATTTTATTCATCTTGATTGTAAAATTTTGTTCAGAGGCCTTAAATCAAATCTATCTATATAACCAAACTCCCCTAATGTTCTCATTTTCTTTTTTATTGAACTTTCAGTACCTTTTAGCAATTTTGATGAAACATTTTAAATACATTTTGTGAAAAAGTTTAACCTCCAGGAGGCTCTGTAAAGTCCCAAAAGTGAATAATATACCATAAATCTACAGGCCAGTCCCCAAATACACTGCAGTATCAGACCGCTCGTTTTAAAGTCAATACTTTTAATAGATATTATGATAAGTTGCATTAAATGTATGGCTCAGGAAACACTGACATTCCTGCCATATATAAGAAAACACGTTTTTGCACTAATCTGTAACATGCAGATACAGGAGAATAAACTCTATTTTCATGACCGTCTGGTGACTTATTTTTCACTGACTGCAGTGATTAGATCCGTATCACGCTTGCAGTGATGCCACGACTGCAAATATTATTGCATTTGAGCAGCAAAAGTGAAAACTCTGCAATAATCCACTCGATTAACTCATATCGTGATTCTGTGGAGGAAACTGCATTTGGACTATTGCTGAAGATGAAGAATGCTGCGTTTGCCCTGAGCACGACTGCTTTGTTCCCGGTGATTTCACGGTATTAATCTGCGCACAACAGTTTGCTTGCAGACGAGCATTTAGGTTAATAATACATGTACGATCATGATATTGGAGTTACAGCTGCTGTGTGATGCAGCTGTTTGATAAAGTCAAAAAAGAAAAGAAAAAGGACGAGACAAAGTCCGCCAGCAGATTTAAAGATGAGTATGTGAGCTGGTGATGCTGAAAGAAATGATTTGGACACCAGGAGGAGAAGCGTGGCTCAGTTTAACCTCTGGTCTTGAATGAATTTCTCAGCCAAATGAAACATGTACACCCCAAAATAATGAAATATTCCCTGAAAAATGGACCTCAAGCAGAGGATAACTTTCTGCCTGGGGCAAGAGGAAGTGTTGCAAACATTTTCTTTAATCACTACAGAACAAAACACGTTGGTAGGTGTGAGGCACGGTGTTCTAAAAAGACAAAAACACACCGTAGACAGGTTTACTAAGCCGTTTTGTTTCTGAACACGCTGGCCCGACCACAATGACGATCAATCACAAAACAACTGCTGGTGGTGTGTGCCACCACCACTGAAAGCTTAATCAAAGAGACAATCTTGAAGCTGTTCAGCAGCTTTTGTGAGCAGAGCTACGTACCCACAGAGAACCAAACATGGCCAGAAGTAGGGCTGAAGGTCATATTTTGTCTACAAGATGCCACAAACCAAGAAAAAGTATAATTATAGAAGCAAGAGCCTAAAATATCCTGCTTTATATGCTCAAAATGCAATTCAGTTTACTATCATTTATGGCCAAAAAAAAAAGCAGCCAATCTTCATATATGAGCAACAGGAAGCACCAAATGTTTGGCATTTTCAAAGACCTAATCCTGGCCATGATATACGATTGCTGTTCCAGAGTTTATTCTATTTAAATCAAAAGGGGATTCCTCATTCAGTGATACAAATTTGAGCTCCAGTTTGACACCTTTTTAGGAAGCATATAAGAAACGTCTCTCTTTATCGGCTCCCCTGAATGCAGGTGAGGCATGTTCTGGCCAATTCCCGTGTCATTCTGACAATTAGATTAGAGAGCAAGAGCGAGGCTCATCCGAGATTAATGAGTCACCTGTCAAGAGCCCGACCTGCCAGCCAGCACGCCATTAGCCTGTTCTTAGCCCTGTGAAATTCACCTCATTGATGCGCTTCATCCTGCGCTCCTCCAGGTCCGTTTTGGCTCGCAGGAAGTTGGCGTGCTCGGTGTCGTCCGCAGGCTTCTCGAAATAAACATCGACGCCATCTGTGGGCCGAGGTGTCGTCACTGGAACGGGGAAGACGAGAAACAGGTTGTTACTGTCGCACAGGCAGCAAGAGGCAGAGAGCAATTATCCTGCGATTAAAGAGACGGTCCGGGTGAAAATGCGGAAGGATTTGCATCGAGAACGCAGCAACTGAGAGGGAAAGCAGTTTGGCACAAGGGGAGAAGAGGAGTGGTCAAAATTAAACGCCTAGAGCAGGGGTGTCGAAATCCGGTCCTCAAGGGCCACACCTGATTCAAATGATCAGGATCGTTATCAGACTTCTGCAGAGCTTGATGATGAGCTGATCATTTGAATCAGGTGTGTTGGAAGATGGAAACATCTAAAACATGCAGGATTGCGGCCCTCGAGGACCGCAGTTCGACACCCCTGGCCTAGAGGAAAGAAACATCTGCTGCATAGTGGAAAGAATATGGATGGAAGATGGTAATGATTTCTATAACCCCGCCGCAATGCTAAGTGAATATACATCAAGTTGTGTATCATACAGACTGATGGGCTGTGAACTAAACATTTAGGAAGATTATTGAAAAATGCTGAAATCATCAATATGACGAGATGGATAGTTTGATGCCAGTTTTGAAACTTCAGGATTAGGAGGATAGCAGGATTCAGGATTATTTTAAACAGCTTTTACTACAAAATGGGCATAAAGAGAATTGATGTTTGAGAATGAGGTAAATCCAACAGCTTTGAGATAAAGAAACTGACATTTTCTTTGAAACCTGCTCAGCACAACTTTGAATTCTGCTGGAAGGCCCGAATTTAGTACGTGGAACCAGTTTGGTTAAACTTCCATTAGATTTAGTCCATTTTTTAGACATGCAATATGCAACGTTGCTGCTTCATCAGTGTGTTAAAATGATGGCATTCTGTCATTCAGATCGCTTTTACGTCGATGTTTCTCACGACTTCATGTGCCAGATTGGACACTACATTTCCTAAACACTCCAAATTCTGTCTAATGATAATCAAA